TTCATTGGTTTCTACAGCAAACCTTCTGCACATGTTCAAAGCAGGCCAAAACGCTGGAGCTTGCTCTCGCCACCTAGTTCTCTATCTAAAAATGGAACCGCCCATAAATCTGTATTCCAAGAGTTTAATTTGTGTAGGCTGCAAACTTCAACACAGCAACAACTATTCAAGCATACTAAGCAATAAAATACTTATTAATATTTCTATGTAGTTCAACTCATAGGACACTTTGTATCAGGATATGAGGCAACACAGATCCATTTGAAATGGGAAGGGTTGCAGTCTCCCAAGTCTTTTCATGGGTTTCCTTCTCTCAAGAAATGCAAAACAGCCCCCCCATTATTTGATTAAACAGCCACCCATTTCACACACATGATTCTGGGTAGCACACAACTTTGAAATAAATAAAAATGCATAAAATTGCTAAAATAAAACCAAAGTAAAACACATAACTGCCAGAGAATCATAAAATGCTCTCAACACAGACAGGATTGGGAACCTGGTCACAAGAGGGCAGTAAATACCTTTCTTTGCAGCACTTTCAAAACCACTAGATATGATGGCATGTCTGATATTGCTAATACTCAGACTGCATTTTTATACCATTTCGGTACTTTCCATTTGTTATTTGCATCATGAACAGTAGTGTTTGCAAGGCATCAGAGCTAGTCAGTTTCTAGTTCCAGAGGGAATTATTTATGCCTTCATGTCAGCAGAGCACAATCTCAGGTGCACAGATCAGATATGGAGCATAGATCTCATGGTCACTCATGCCCTATGTGTCATCACCTATTTGGGTTTCCATAATGCACCATATGTGGGGCTGCTCTTGAAGAATATTCAGAAACTTCAGCTGGTGCAAAATGCAGTGGGACAGGCCTATTACACTACACATTACACCTCTGCTCCGCAAACTGCTTTATGGCATGGACAAGGTTGAGATTACCTCTCTCTGATTACCTCTGCACTTTATATCTGCCAGGGAATTACATTTGACAGATCCTAGGACACGGGTCTTCTCTGCCATAGTGCCCACCTTATGGAATCTTCTCCCCCCCCCAAAAGTGAGATTAGCTCCATCCCTCCCAACATTCCACAAGTCTCTCAAGATCTGGCTATGTTATCAAATCAGGAGGTTTTTATAATTATTGTTAATTGCAACTGTATTTATGTATTTATTGTTTTTAATTAAATGTTTTATGTTTCCCAGAATCATTTTTATGTGAGGTAGGCAGCTATACAAATATGTTTCTCAACCTGTGGCCCACGGACCTCTGGGGAGCCATGATGTCATCACATGGGGTCCATGAAGGCTTGAAGAAATGTTACGATTTAAATCTTGAGTTAAGTCTTGGGGGTCCGTGCCCATGGTTTGTGGCCACAAAGGGTATTTAAAGGGAGTCCGTGATGAAGAAAAGGTTGAGAACCACTGTTATAGTTGATAGATAGGTAGGAGAGAGAGAGAGAGAGAGAGAGAGAGAGAGAGAGAGAGAGAGAGAGAGAGAGAGAGAGAGAGAGAGAGAGAGGAAGGAGAGGGAGGGAGGGAGGGAAGAAGGGAGAGAGAGAGAGAGAGAGAGAGAGAGAGAGAGAGAGACAGACAGACAGACAGACAGACAGAGAGAGAGAGAGAGAGAGACTGTCATTTCTTCTTGAAAAATATGCAATATGTGAAGACCAATAAAGGTTTACAATGCATGCCTAGAGGCACCAAGTTCCTGGGATGACCTGGTTTTGCAAGGAGCTGTAAGGTTTTATCTTTGCCTCAATAGCAATCTCCCTTCCTCTCTTTCCCTCTCTTGGAGTACGACCAGTCCTTTCTAACCTGAATGCTGGCTAGCATTTGCATATCTTGCTAGCTCTTTCCTAACTGTTGAGCTGGTTAAAAATGTTGTCTGAATAGGGTTGCCAGGTGTCCACTATTTGAGTGGACAGTCCACTTTTTTCACATTATGTTCACTATTTTTTTTCACAAAATAGTGGACATTTTTTTTTATTCAAAAGCTTTATGATGAAATGGTACGTCATCTAAAGCTGTACAGTCTACTTTTTTTACTACTTAACACCCCCCCCCCCCCGCTTGTCCGCTATTTTTTGGAAGCAGACCTGGCAATTCTATGTCTGAACACAGTTAGACTTTTTAGATGACTGTCCATTTCAAGGTTTGATAGAATATTTTTTTCTGAGGGAAAGCATTCATAAAAACTCATAAATTGCATAGCTCTTACCCTGGCAAATGAAATGTGAGCTTCCTGAGAGAATTTGCTTTGAAGGAAATTGGATTTTTATTCTCACTTCTTAGTTTATTTGCATGTTTTCCTTATTCTATAAGTATTAGCATCATTCTCAAAGAGTGCATGTTCCTAATTTCCAAGTTCAACTCAAGAAAGTACCACCATAGGGATAGTTAAGTATTTAGTGCCCATAAACTTCTTTGTGCCTTTATTATCTATGTGTGACATTAAATAAAATGAAGCCAAATGTTTACTTCCCAGAATGACCCTAGAAAATAAAAATGCTGTTGGTTGATTCTAGCATGCTGTTTAAAAACTGGGCCCAGATAATAACAAAGATAAGTTTGGATAACAAAAAATTTCCAGGTCAAGGATGCAGATAGGGCTAGTTGGAACGACTATGTTGTCAATAATTACTCCAGCAAAAATAGACTTTTTATGAAGGGGTGGCATCCATCAAACCTCAACACAGAGGTTTGCTTAATGACAGTAATTGAGACTGGCAACTCCATTGCTACCTGTATTTATCTTTTAATTATTCATAAAAAAATTAACTCTTTTTTCATTGTTTAAACAAATAATAAGCTTTCAATGATATCCTTACAAAATAAATCAAATCTAACTAGAAATGCTATACAGTTGAAATTTCTCAAGATAGAAAGATGTGTGATACAGTATGTGATTTACGAAGGTTTAAGTTACATGGGTATAGCTTTAGCTCTGCTGGTTAGGAACTCTGGAAATTGTGGTCCCAATATATAGGGATGAGCCAACATTACTAAAAGCCGCCCCAACATGAAGGGCAGTAATAATGAAAGATTTGTAGACAGGATATTAAAAGCCATTAATAGAATTCCTGGCCCCTCTGCAAACTACCCAGATTCTTTTAATGAAATGTAGAAATCTAAACAGTTGCACAGTCAATACAAAGTTTCTACTGTGACATGCTCTTAGAAGTTTAGGTATTTTTTCTGAAATATTAAAATGGTGTCTTTGTCACTGAAGGCACTGAACCTCTGGTTATCCGCATTTAGGAATGTTTACTATCATAAGGACTTTGAAACATGTTTGCATAAAAATAGTTAGTGGTTAGGTAATATTCTCCATGTGGGGAAATTGTGGAATCAAGCACAGCTAACTGGGGCTAGCCAAATAAATAGTGCAAATAAAAGAACAGATAACTATGTACAGCAGAGATGCAAAAGTGGCAATTTTATTTGTTTCAAAATATTGGCCTTATTGAGGTGTACAGATTTTAGTAACAGATACAACACTATTCACAACATGCTCTTCGTATGAGGCTGTCCAAAACACGAATGCTTCCTTGCGGCTAGTAGAATATAAGCCATGGCTCTACTTCCAAATGGGGTAAACCAACTTAACTATTGGGCTATGCTATGCCAAGTGCAGGCAGGAAGTCTACAAATTCTGGAATAGCACTCACTGTTCTTTTTCCATCTGGCAAACCAATATAGGTCATATTTATGGTGCGGAGTGATATGGGAACTCAGTATACCATTTACATCTTAAAAGAAAACTATCATTACTGAAGGAAGGGAAAGGAAGGAGATACTTGAAAGTTGTCACTGTTTTAATGCTAGAGCCTCTACCCTTTGGTATATTCCACATGAGACAGAAAGCAGAAAAAATAATCTGGAAAAAAGTGAGAGAGGAAGAAGCAAAGCTACACCTTTTGGTTTCTACATGGCAACTCTAATTAGCCAACTGCAATAAAGCCTATGTTACCTTTGAATGGAGTGGCCATAGCAGCCTTGAAAGAACAAATTAACAGAGTGGTTGACATAAAAAGAGTGACACTTTTCTGGAAACTAACATGACAAACATTTGTTACGCTAACAGGCCCAGTAGCATGAATTTGCAACCACTGAATCTTCCATTTCAAGCTATTTGGCTAGTAAACCAGCCATTCAATTTTCTGATTTGTTCTAGGCAGATTCAGTCCACTTTATACTACCACAAACTTTTAATTCCATTATGGTTTATTATTTTTATATCATTTGTTTCAAAGTAATGTTCATTTAGAAAATGAAATAATTCTATATACTAACACAGTAACATACAAAAATAGCTATGAAGGAATATAACATTTGACTTGTAGGAATACAAACTAACATGCAATTCTTAAAAACAGTAATTAAGAAACAATAGGGAATAATGGAGGATTAAAAAAACCCTACACAGAGTCTATAAACATTCCTAATGTGAATTTCGATCTCACACTCCTGTAAATTATTATTATTATTACTATGGTTGTTTGCACAGTCATCCAAATGTTTTGACTGGATTTGGCATTTTTATCCACCTATTGAGTCCTTCCCAAGGATCTGGGCTAGGCAGATGCTGTTTGATGGTATCAAAGGTATTGTCATTACCTTTACATGTAAGCTGTAATTACAAATTATTATTATTATTCCATTTATATGACTTATATCCAACATAGACAATCTTTACATAAACTATACACAAGTGGTTTATAATTTTGCTTCTTGATGGGAAAGAGCCAAAACTGGTAACGAGTGTTGTCTCAAATACTTTGTCTTGGAAAAGAATTTATTATAAAAATAAATATGCTTTAGTCCAATTGGTGCTAAATATGTGAGGAGAAATAAGCGCAGGAAGGGAAAAGTAATTCTCCCACATTATGAGAAAAGACTCCTCATTCCGGACCTGTTTCATGTAAAACACACGTGGCCCATCATATCAAGAGGAAAGTCCAGAAAGGATATTCTGCGTTATCATAGCTGATATATTGCAATCATCTTCTTTAAACTGTTCCATTTCCCTAAAAAACAAAGAAAAATAAATGTGGGCTAATGTTAGTCATAGTTTATAACATTCAGATAGGATTTAATTGCAGTAAGAAACCCAGGTAAAATTTACCCTGTAAGCCCTAATTTAGTAGCCCTCTTTTATGCCTAAAATGTGAGTCTTAGGGGCCAAATTCCAATGTGGAAATAGTCCTAATGTGGCAAAACCTTGTCCTCCCAGTGGTCCCTTCACCCTGCCTTGAAAATGAGATCAATAAAGTTGACATCCTCGCACAAAGACAGGGGTTATGATTTTGACTGCTGTTGCTGTCAGAAGAGTGAGGAGCTGGGGACAGGTTTTGTCTACTTTCTGCTGCTGCTTCTTTCCACCATACCCTCCTAGAATGGGTCCTTCACCACCTCCCACCACAACAGCCCCAATGCTTCCCAGAAAGCATGGAGAAAAGGGCAGGGATTTGTGTGGAAAGAGATAGCGGAGGTTACTGGTGGGAAAATCAACCTCATAGAATAAGTCAATATTGCTACAGGGGTGAAAAATAAAGAAAAGAGCTCTGATTAGCATTCAGGAGCATGATGAACCAGAGATGGTGTGAGGATAAGTTCTTAATGACTGGTAAACATGCCTTGTGAATTATCTTAGATGGAGACTTGGCATGTACAAATTAGAAAGGGAAGTTTTATGTGAAAGGAGATCAAGCATTGCCACACACAAATGGCTCCTCAGAAGGCCATTAGTATTAGAAGCTAGTTTAAGACCTAGGCTGACAAACTAAATTATGATGATTAATTAAATTATGGCATAAATAATATGTATGCATATGGACATGCTTTACAGTAGCTACCCATTTTTGCTTTTCTCATGTGTATAGATTTAAAATACTTTTTTAAAAAAAAAAGTCTGATAAATAAACAATTCTACTGCAAAGTTCTGGAAGTTTTTTTTTTTAGAACACTTCTACAAAACGTAGCATCTTACAAGCCATAGTAACAACAAAGAAATGGTGCTCCGGCTTAGGCATCTTCTGTGAAAATAGAATTATAGATCTAGAAGTCTCATTTAGACCAGGGATCCCCAACCCCCGGTCCATGGACTGGCACCGGTCCGCAGCATGCCAGCAAGTGTCCCGCACAAACAAACAAAGCTCCATCCTCGGGATGCAGGCAGTATTCAAAACCACACCCCCTCTGGTCCATGGAAAAACCTTTCTCCATGGCACTGGTCCCTGGTGCTCAAAAGGTTGGGGACCTCTGATTTAGACCACAGAGTCTCACCCTGTGCTGTGTATAAGAATCAAAACTAAAGCATTACTAAGAGATGACTGTTCAGTCATCAGAGAAGAAGCTTTCAGTTTCTTAGATTCCACCATCAATCTGAATTTACCACCAGAAAGTCTTTTTCTGATACTCAAAGAGAAACTGCCGTCTTGTCAATTTGTCGTAAGTACTTAAGAAAACACAATAAGCCATCAATAAGCAAATCAACATGGAAAATGAGAAGCTGGCATACTGGAATATGGAAGCATTCTTACCCCACAGCACCCACAACATTTGCAGTCTCCGCAGATAGCTCCAAAGAGACCATTGATTGCCTGAATGGCACACACGACCAGCTGAACTCCACTCATTATCAGCAGCAGAGAGAAGAGTGTTAGATTCCAGGGCACAATGGATTCTGGGGACTGGCATTTGTCCCATAAATTATGATCCGTAAGGTATTCCCTGCAGGGGAAAAAAGAATATTTCTCTCTTATAGAAGCCATTGTCTGCATATTATGTTTACTTGGCTAGCTCATGTGTCTGCCATAACCCAGGATGGATCTATGCACATTATAAAATAGTATTGATCTAATGGTACCTACTGGGTTCTATGAGGAATAAAACTAATACCCCCATTTGAGAAAGGATTAAACTGTATCTTGCTAGACACAATGGATTACCAGAAGTATGTGGTGAAATATCTCCCACCCTCTCAATATTTTTTTTCCAGAATTCTTCCCATACAGTCTGCATGGAACTGATCTCTTTAAAAACTTCTTCAGTTACATTTTGGCCAAGTTTAATTTATGAAAACTGTGGCCATCAAATCTGGAAAGAAAAGGACAGCTGGAATGGAACATAACAGGAATTGAGGTTCCTTTATTGTCAAAGTGGGATGGTCCGCTGCCTGAAGGATTCGCCAGAATTATTCTCTTAATTTATCAATAAGAATGAAACAATCCAGTAAAGTTTCTAAGGGATCTAATGATGGCAAATTTATAAGCTAAAATAAATAAATATTTTAAATAAATTTGTGGCTATATCGAATGATGTTCACATATATTAGACACAGTAACAGGGAACTGAAGCCATTATCAATAAGAGAATATACTTGGCATTTGAAAATGATTATAGCTCAATGTTTCTGACAGATTTTGAGAACTGAGACTAATCCTGTGGTCCACAATACTTGTGTAGTACTTCTGTGAGTTAGTATGGAAATATATATATATATTAAAAAATTTCCTTATTTTGTCCAATCAACAGAACTCAGATAATGATAAGTTTCCACTAAAGAGTCCTTATTTATGTTTTTTGGAATGATAAATTTCAGGAAAGCTACTAGCCATCTTTATTTTTTTCCCCCCTGTGTTACACTTAACACAGAATGTACTTTGCCATTCCATATTTTTGTTATGGCTTCCTTTCTATATTCAAAGAACAAATCAATCCAGAGTTGTCACTCAAAGCACAGATAAACAGACTCAAATTGTTATATTTTGAATATATTATGCACAGATGTGGGTCTCTTGAGTAGTCTGTAATGCTGGGAAAAGTGAAAGGAAGGGGAAGAAGATGATGACCAGTAGCATGGTGCATGGACTCAATTACAGTGGTGATGGATACACTTTTGGAAGACCTGAAGGGCCAGTTTATTGATAGAACATCCTGGACATCATCTATCTCTGTGGTCATTAAAAGTCAACACGTGGCACATAACCAATCTTTCTTATAATTTTTTTTTTAAAAAAGGTGAGATCACAGCATGGCTTCCACAGCTGTCCCCAGCAAGTTGTCATCAGGTTAGTAGGACTACAATACCCACCCTCATGAGGAAGATGTAGCCCCACATATTTGAAGAGCATTGACTAAAAAAAACTGTCTTTCAGTAGCACCACACAATGTCAATCATGTTGCTACATAATGGCTAAATAAGAATAGCAATAACAATAAAATCTATCCCAGGTCCTTGGGAAGGACATCACAGGCAGACAAAAATGCTAAATCCAGCCTGAACATCTGGCTGACTGTGTGACGAAACATAATCTATATATATAAATACAAAAAATATATAAATAAAAATGTAAATGTTCGTTTGTTCAAAATCTTAAATCTCCGAATTGTTTGTTCAAAATCTTAAATCTTCACCGATTGCTTTGAAATTTTGACACAACGTTGCATTCGAATACGCACGTGTTTTTATATACCTATATTATATAGATGTCACACCTGTGACAGGTAAAACATGCTTTTTTTGAAAAACAGCGCCATCTGTTGGACGTAAAAGCAACACACGCTTTTACCAGACTCAGCCACAGCAACGCGTGGCCGGGTACAGATAGTAGTACATAAAGATAACAGTGTTGAAAGTATCTTACCCGTTATAAAATGGATATGTCCAGATGCTAGTATTGTTTCTATCAGTATTACACTTCGGGCCTCTGTTCAAAGCCACAACTGACACAATAAAACTGTAACCAGCTCCCACAATTCCAACTGCTGCAAATATTATAGAACTAAACATCTGCCAGCAACAAGAGAAAAGAAGAGATCAAACCTGAAGCTTGCATGTTTATATAATTAGCTGGTTTATTTCAGACATAAATGGCATATGAAAAAGTAAGAAATCACTATTTCTAAATCTACTGAAATTTTCTTAGTTCAGGAATCATATGGAATCATGATAGAAGTTCATGATTAAAGTAATTGGCTTTATAGGATAGCTGAGTGGTGTACTCTAGTCAACTCAGTCCAGAGTTTTTAACTTTTAATTTGTTTTTAATAAATCAATTTTATGTCCCTTTATCCTGGGGGGTACAAAGCCAAATATTTAGCCTTCTTTGCTTCATGAATCTGATTACTACCTCCCAAAATTTGTTTCAAATATCCACAAATAATTATTAAGATAGTTTGACCAATTTAACTTTCAACATCCTAGGTGTAAACCCACAAAGTCCCACCACACGTTACAACTGGATTACAAATTTTAATCTAGCAGAAGGGAGAAATGATTAAGCACATAGGGAAAAAGTATACTAATTTTAATCAATGAATTATCTCATTACAATCTATATTCAATTTAATTAAATCATGTTTTGTCCTGGCCCCATCCCTTTGGGGAAATGGCATCAGGGAAAGGGTCAAAAAAGAGTCAGGCTATGTTTGTGGAATCTAGTTTAGGGAAAAAAGGCAGCAAAACGATCAAGGGGTAGAATAGTGATGCAGGGTAATAAAATCATGAATAGGGAAGAGAAAATGGATAGAGAAAAGATATATAAAATCCTTTACCTATTATAATAATACAACTGAGAATCATCTAACTTATTAGCAAGAGGTGTGGACTTTCCACCCACCACATCATTGCATTATGGAATTTTCTGTCAATCTAAACTCTCCAAAATACAGTGTGCATCTAAGAAATTTAAAATTACACATTGTTGTCATTGAGCCAAACAAAAACTTCATTCAAAAAAATTCAAAAACTTTGCAAAAAGAAAAGTCGGGGAGGGAGGCACACAAACCATTTGTGATTTTGTCAAGGATAAAATCTGGAAAACCAATAAGAGTCTATTTTCAGAAGTAAAATCTAAAATCCTTTTTTCTTATGTAGTTCTTAAGGTGTGATTATAGCTAGCAAGACCCTTTTTTATATGGTAGTGTAATGATGAATGGAATATATATTTGCTTCTTAATCACTAGATTGGGATTGGAGATTCTTATTGCTTCTATAATTACCGCAAATCTTTTTCCACAGCTTTCATTTCCACAACATCCACAACAATCATTATTCTTAAGGCCCAAAAAGACCAAAACTGGAAACACCATCTGGAGAAAACAGAAAATCACAATGAGGCCATAATCTTTCTCGATTTAGTGGCATCTAATCTGGATCCTGCAATGCCATTTCTTCTTTCTTTCTGAAATGTCATCATTGCAACCAGCAGGTTTACTATTGTGTAAGCAACAGGATCATTCTAGTCCAATGATGCTGTCACCCTAAGCACATTGAACTGGAAAAAGTCACTGAATGCCGCCGGAGTCATTTTCAAGTTTAACAGTTAGCATTGACTGGAAATATCCCAACACAAAAAGAAAAACAAAATAGAAAAAAGAGGAAAGTTAACCAGTAATATATTTTACAGAAATCTGTTTATATTCATATTACTTTAACAAAGCTGCTCTAATAAAGTGCTGGTCTGATTTAACAAAATGATGCTTATCTCTTTATTCACCAAAGACATCTAGATATATATGTGTTTTTGTTACTGCATCATCAGATAAGCATCTGCTTTCTTAATAACAGATTTCATTCATATTCAATCCATATTTTTAAACCTGCTTATTCACAAATAATAATTTAATTTCAATGATAGATTACAATAAAGTTTGCTATATTAGTAGATGAACTTCTATAAAGCCTGTAAACTCTAGATGATAAAAAAGAAAAAGAACAGGGTACTTGACATACTCACCAGCACACCAGAACCCAAAATTCCTCCAAAGTACCAAACTTCATCTGAAATATTGTCACTAATTTCAATTGTTCCCCCAGGAAAAAATAAGAGAATATTGGCGAGAACGCATAGTATGCTTAAAGGAATGAGAGTAACTCCAAGACACTTGGCACACCCTCCACAACACATATTTCAAAATTGTACTGCAAAAAAAAGGTAGACCTTTCCTTGGATCTTGATGTAATTTTTAGCAGAAGCTAAAACTCACTAGTTTGCTTCAACCCACTTGTTTTTTCGATCCCACTTTCTTTCACAGAGTTCAGTCTGCCAGCAGCCCAAAGCTTGGACAATTTATAAGCCTGACATTGTCATGATCTCATATTTCTGCATCTCTCCCGCCCTAATGAGATTATGTTCAGAACAGCCTCTGAATTTGTCATGACAACAAAAGGCTCTGTTAATATTCTACTAGCCACCCCAAGAAAATCAGTAGTTTGAAGAAGATTATTGTAACCTCTCTTCCCAATGATGGTAGATTTGGACCATTGTACTTTCTCTCTCATTAGACTGAAAAAAGGAAAAGATTTCAGATTCTTATCCACAGCACAAATAAAAATGAATGATTACTTCATGTACATTACTCACTAATTTCAGTGGGTATCATGCTAATAATCTATTGGATCTTTCAAAGAAGAACAAGATAAAAGCTGTAGAAGCAAAGAATGATAGGCAGATGACAAACGGAAACTGAGTAAGCAGATCAAAGGTTTGTTAGCTATTTTTTCTACATGGTTCAATAAAATTTTTATATTGAAAAAAGAAGGCTAAGAATATACATACATTTCATAAGGTCTGTGGAAATTTCATCCTACGTAAAGACAGCTTGGACACTTTGGATCATCTATCAAATGTTTGTATTGTATCATATGTAATTTATTCAAGAAGCCATAATTAGGCCAACCCTGAGTGAACAGAATGTATGTATTTGTCGGACTTGCCCCAGTCTGATCCCTTAGAGAAGGAAAACTCTCAACTCCATTTGGTTGAAGCAAAGGGTACTTTTACTAAGAGATGCTGATTCATAAAGCCAGGCGGAATCTAAAGTTCCCGCGCAACAATACAAAACTATGCCCCTTGGTTCCCCATCCCTTCCCCCATGACCAGTCCCTCTTTAACCAATCTGACATTGCTGAGATGATTTGGGAAATGCTGAAGTGTTTAGGCTGATGAAATTCCACTTCCAAACAGCCTTGAAGATGCCAGGCATAAACTGGATTCCAAAATGTTCTGCTCTTTTTCAATGGTTCCTCCCTCCTGCGTTCTCACCATAGACACATACAGCTTTATTGCCCATTTGTTCCCCCTCCTTTCTCCAGTTCTTTGATGGCCTGACAACAGTGAAGCACCAAGCCAAAGATGGTGGATCTGACAGTGTTTCTATTATTAATATCACTGGAATCACTTCAGGTTGGGGTACTGCACATTTTTTTTACTTAATCTATTGAAAGATTAATATATTTTTATATTACAAAAATTTCAGTGGATTTAGGGAGAATTGACCTATATCTTAACATACACCACCTGATTTATGCTATCACCAGTTATCTGTTGGAAAACAATTACAATGTTTTATTCAATTTCATCAGTTTCTCAACCTTCACTTTCAGCTCTGTTTGTAAAGAATAGAACATTATTATGGAGAAAATATTTCTATTTTTTTAGTTTGGAACGAACAAGGCTTCGAGCTCCTATAAGAATCTAATGCCTGATGATCAGAGGTGGAGCTGATGCTAGCTCTGGGGAGTGGCTGCATATACAGATGAACCTTCTCTTGCTTGCCTGCTACTTACCTCCAGCTGTGCAGCCCAGTTCCTAACAGGCCATGGACCAGTACTGGTCCATGGTTGAGGGTTGGGGACCCCTGGTGTGGAGGAAAAAATGAGAATGGAAGGGATGCTGCAACCTAGTGTGTCTGGTCTCCTGAGTTCAGAGATCAGAAGGAAGAGCTAATTTCATGTTAATCTTCCCTCCTGGAAGCTGAAGGGAATAAACTTATGATGAATCATGCATCAAACTGTCATGGAGATATCTTAATCACAATGGAACCCATTGTGTGGGTTTGTATGTCATACTAGTTGAATACCTATCCAAGAATGTCAAATGAATTAAGCCATTGATATCAGTGGACTTACGTTTCACTGATTTCATCAGATGTTTTAAGAATGGTTAAATTTTAATATTCGTCAATTTTTGTCTAGCTTTTATATTATGCATTTCTGTGAATTAATTCCTCTAGGCACATTACAGGTAAATATGTACTTGAAGAGCAGAAACGTTATCTCTGACTGGAATAACTACCAATGAGAATTAGCATTTTTTGTAAAAAAAAAAATTAAGCTATTCTTAGTATGTACAATAAATTTGTGCTATTAAGTTTTAGTTCTACTTGCATTTTTTGTCTATATAATTATTTCATTGGTGCAAAACTCAATCTGAAATTATTCCATTTACATCTGTATTCTATATTTTGAGTGTATTAGTAAATTACATGTATCTCCTTACTGGTGAGCTGAATGCAAGGATAAATTGAGTTACAAATTATTGTCTAGGTTAGAGATCCTACTCTCAAGCTTCCCCCAATCAGTAATGAAACTAGAAGCTTTGCAAATGGAGATTCAAGGACAAATCATAAACTTTATTGGAACTGAATAAACAATTTAATAATTAATCTAACAATTGCTATGTATAAAATAAAAGCTATATTTATAGGAAAAGCAAGGTTTATTCTTGCCTCTCTTTCTTTCATCCATCCTAAAGAGGCTCCTGCTTTGGGCCAGAAGGGCAATTGATCCATCACCTATCTCTTATTAGTGTGATGGATGCTTGGTTGTAACCTTGCCAGATCTAATCCTCAGACTAACCTTGCACAAACTATCATGAGCAGCCAGGTTAAACTGAATGTTGCTTGAAAATTATGGAATATTGGCCAAATTATGCCAGAAATTATTGGTTTTGATCTTATCATTACCAGGGAATGCTGCATAGGCCATGGATATGACTGAGTTGGTAACCTAGGCAACTGCTCATGAGAAGTGTTACACGCTAGATGCTATAGGAGGCATCTCAGTACAAGTTGGTGCCAAGACATCTTTCCTATCTATGTTTACTGCACAACACAAATAAGGCTGGGCTTTTTACAATAAGTTCATTGATGGAAGCCACAACCAAGCAGCTAATGTCTGCCTTCTTTCCTCTTTTTTTGACCAGGTGAAATTGAGAAGAGTTTTGCCCATTTTTCTTCAAGTCCCTACAACGAGAAGATGGTAAAGCAGTCTGTCCATTCCTCTTTTCAAGCACTCCACTGACAGATGCATCAAATAGGTAGATGCTGTCAGAAGAAAGGACTCATTGGAAGACTCTGATACTGGGAAAGATTGAAGGCAAAAGGAGAAGGGGATGGCAGAGGATGAGATGGTTAGATAGTGCCATCGATACAATGAAGATGAATTTGGGCAAACTCCGGGAGACGGTGGAGGACAGGGGAGCATAGTGTCCTATGGTCCGTGGTGTCATGAAGACACTACTTAGTAACTGAACAAGATAAGAAGCAGTCAAGGAAGAGGAACTGATACGAAAAGTTTACTAGTGAAAACTACATGTCAGATACCCAAACATGGAAATCTGTTGGAACTTGCTTTCCTGGCCAAGTGGAAAGTTAAAGTTTAGTTCAAGCTTGATAAATAGCCATATTTATCTTGGCAACAGTGTAGAAGTAGTTTGTTCTTACTTTTCTTCAGAATATTGTTTCAATATTCTTTTTCAAAAATATTATATCATAGAGACACAAGTATATATTGGTCTGGGAAATTGTATGTATGTATGTGTTGCAAGGTATATCACAATTGAACAGGATATTTTTTATTTTTTTATACTTGTTTTCCATTAAATCCCAAGAACAGAACTTCTGACTTTAGAGAGATTAGTAATTATGTTTATTTTGACAGTAATAGGAAATTGGAGTGACCACCGAAAGTTACATACCAGCAACCTGGATTAAGAAGTTAATGATTCATAAATGAGATTATGGTCCAATCCCAAGAGAACAGATGCAATATTTATTTATTGATTATTTAATTTTTGTAATCGCCCACCTCAACAAATGACTTTGGATGGCAAACAATCATAGAACAATTAAAAACATGCACAATACTACTGTATAAGTAACCTGCTGCTGCATTTTTTTTGCAAAAAAATATCTGTAACCCACATTTTGATTGTTGCAAGTTTCTTAAGGTCAGTACATGAATTGAATGAATATAGTAAGTCTCTTAAGGTACCTTAATGAATTGAGATGGGTTACTATAAAAATTAAATAAATATTTAAAAAGTGTAATATATTGCCTTTATTCAAATAGCTCTGAAGAAGGTATTACTATGACTGAAAAGCGTAAGTCTTGTCATTATTTTTGCAAAATACATTTTTGCATGCTTCTCTTTCTGCCCTTAATAAGAGCAGTAAGAGCACTGATGCAATGTTTGTTCACTGCTGGTTAAGTCCCACATTCCAGATGGTTAATTATTTTGTTATAACATATATTCAGACAAGCCCTGTAATATCTTAAAGGCTAACTTATTCTCTTAGGATGGACTAAGCTTTTGTGTTCATTTTGTGTTTGAATGCATGAAATGTATTTCTTGGAAATACATGCTAAAATACATGCCTGAGTGGAAGGGAAGGAAAGCAAGTGTTAGGGTAAACAAAGCCACAGAATGCAACATTACTAGTATTTCTAGTAGTAGTAATACCAGTAGTAGTATTAAGCCTTGCATGGCTTGAGGCCAGAGTATTTGAAGGAATGCCCTTCCACTTTTACATCTACCTAGCCCACTAGGACAAGAAGGCAGGCTATGTCCCATTGATTAGGGATGTATATCTGGTTGGGTCAAGAAAAAACGCCTTCATGGTAGTGGCCCCTTTTCTATGGAACATCATTCCCCCCCTCCAGGTATGAATGGTCACCCTGCTGATTTTCCAAAAGGCCCTAAAGACATAGTTTTGTCAGCAAGTCTAAGAACCATGAATGAAGATGGAGTCAATCAAATGGTTTATTTAATTATGCTGCTGCTGCCATGGGCTGGGGGGAGGTCTGGGAGATTTTTATGGGTTTTTATATTGCATTTTTTTTTAAATATTGTAAGCTGCCCAGAGTCACCTATGTGTAAGTTAGGTGGCCACATAAATTTAATAAAATAAATACATTTCTATGCAGTTTCCTTTTAAGGAGTGTTTCTCAACTTTAGCAACTATTAGGTGTACAGACTTCAACTCCACATGAATTGAGGTCTACACAGCTTAAAGAATAACTAGAGTACTCTAGTATATGAGTACTCTAGTTATGTTGAAGGACTATCTTCATCATGTTCAGAGATGGTCTGCCTAGCTGAGAAAAATCAGTAGTCTTATCATTTCTGAAGCATGCTCACTTCTGGGAAGCCAATGGAGGGATCAAAGGAGTCTATGTCTACTGTTGTATATCAATGTCAGACCACAACATTCTTTTGCTGAAGAAAGGGGATTTTTAGTGAGGAGGCACTGGGGAAAAATTGCTCCCAGACTACACATGAAAAGGGAGGTCAATTCAAAGTATGACTCTGTAATGGGAATAGCTCAGACTGATTAATATATTTCTTCAAGGCTGTAACTTAAACCAGTTAACCAGTGTTTCTCAACCTTGACAATTTTAAGGTATGTGGACTTCAACTCCCAGAATTCCACAGCCAGCAATGCTGGCTGTGGAATTCTGGGAGTTGAAGTCCACATGCCTTAAAATTGTCAAGGTTGAGAAACACTGAAAAACTATAATTCCAACACTTCAGTTTTGGGGGTTTTCCTGAACATCCCCGCTTTACCAGACCCCTGGGTACAATGAGCAAAAATAACAGTGAAAAAAATGTACTAATGTAAGGTGCCACTAGAGGAGGAATGATGCAAAATTGTTTTGAAATGGGAGTTGAACTGCAGATGTGTATCAACCTTCGGACTGTTGCAGGATCGGAATGCTAAAAAAATACAGTTACCACGGACTGTCTGAAGGTCACACATGTTAAGTGCGTCAAAGTATTCTGCTAAAACACTTGTAGCATAATGGATAGCTCAAATCTGCCTTCTTTAAAGAGATATAAGGCTAAGGAGAAGAGCCATTTTATAACGAACAGTGCCGTGGTAAAATACCTCGCAAACGCACATTGGATGTGTTAACAACATCTCATTAAACAGGCTGTCACCACAACCGAGGCACACTTCCAGTTATTCCTGCACAAAGCGCCAACCCCCGTTCTCTGTTGTATATAACATCCTTGACTCCTAGCGCCAGGAAACAAGACTGAACAGCCATCACATGTTCTGCAGTCACGTGAGTACAGACCAAATACTGGTACTTATTGCTCTGGTTTCCCGAGGCCTTTTTTGTGTGTGTGAAAGTCAAGTGCCGTTGTTGCGTCGTAAGTTGCAACGCAAAGGTAGGAGAAGGCGGACTTTCGTCCTGCTAATTAAAGGGCTTTTGCTCCGTTTGCGTTTCCCTCCTGTCGACGAAGGAGCAAAGGTGGAACTGTCTCATATCGTATCGACCTGCCTGCGTTAGGAGAGGGTGCTCGTGGGGATGGAGACATTCTCTTGCTTGGCTTAATTCCCGCAAAAGAACCGTCTTCCGCAACGTGGCGCCTTCTTCCAGATCGGTTGAACTTACGGTCTGCTGGCCAAGCATGTCCTTGACGTTCATCTTGATGCCAAGCCGAAGAAACCACGATTCCCCCCCCCCCCCATAACTTCTTACTGGCTCACACCTAGAAAGATGCCTTTTCTGTTGGCTAAAGTCACCAGCGCTCTCTCCAAATAACCCGTGCTTGCCCAGGGAATCCCGACTTCCTGTGTTTTAAAAAGAAAGGATGCCCTTTGAGAAATTTTAACCCTAGAATAGAGTTCTCCAAAATGGTCAGCAAGAATATGTTTCATATACATATTTGGGCATATCGATGAACAATTTGAACCTTCATGAAGGGGTCAATGAGAATTTGGGGACTCCTGCCCTAGAAGAACATACCTGTAACTTAAAAGTTAGTTGAAATACACTGATTGGGTTGGAGGAGTTCTCTGAGCTTGTTTTCACATTTATAAACGTTTCTTGCCAGGTGTGAAAAGCAAAGTTCAGAGAATCCCCATATCCCAACTATTGTGAATTTGCAAAGCTTTGTGCATTTGTCTTTGGTGCACAACAGCAACCGATCTTTGATGGGACATAATAAACAGATTTTCTCAGTTAGAATACCTGTTGTCAGGAATTACGTTTCCTTCTGCCCCAAGATTCATATGGTCTCCACCTTGCCCCTATTGAAATGAGCTCTTAAAACCTGGCTCTTACCAAGACTTTGGGTTAGGGCGATTGGTAGATCCTGGGGATATGTTTGTTTTGGTGGTTGTGGTCTTTTTCCAGATACTTGTTTTGTATGATCTTTATATTATTTTATTTTTAATGTCTTCTTGTATGTCAGCCAGAATTGAGATGGAGTTGGCCAGACTATGTAACTAAAAAATGGAAAGTATATTTTAATGTATTTATTTCTTTATTAAACTTCAAATGCCATCCAGCACTCCATGACAGCATGCTGGCCACATGACCACAGAAATGTCTTTGGACAGCACTGGCTCAATGGCCTTGAAACAGAGATAAGCACCACCGTTTATAGTCATCAATTCCACTAGCAGACAGGGACTCCTTTCCTTTCCTTTCCCATTTCAATATCCAAACCACCTCTGGACAGCATAAAAATTGAATAAATATATAAATAAAAATATACTTTCCATTTTTTTATTGAATAGCCATCTGATACCATCCTGATTCTGGCTAGCATACAGCATGTGGCTTGGACATGCCTTGTAACTATATTCCTTTCTTTTCTGTGCAGATTTCACATTGACCTCACTTCCAGAAAGATGTCACAGCTTAAGTTCTGTTCCCGACGATCCCCCGTGGTTTGCTGTAATGCCTGTGTTGCGTCAAGCCAGTCTCTTGCCACGAATATTGGCCTTGGTATTTATTTTATTCTTCTTCAGTGGGTGGAATCTTTAAATTTGGGGAGGATAATGTCTTATTGTTTCATAGTATTATTCCGCTACTGCCGTATTCTTAATGAAATTCTTGGTTGCAGATATTTTAAAGATGGGCGGCAATGCTGTAGACGCTGCTGTGGCTGTCGCCGCCGCTTTAAATGTTACAGAACCTTTCAGTACAGGGCTGGGTGGAGATTGTTTCTGCCTGTACTATGATGCAAGGACAAAGCAGGTGCGTGGTCTCAATGGAAGGTGAGTTCCAAAAAGGTATATATGAGGCTAGCACTAAAGGAAAGGGCTGGGCTCCCATTACCAAGTTCAAGAAAAGAAACAAAATGTGCAGACATGCCTAATCAAACTAAAGCATTCATTCATTTATTTTTGTTCTGCCTTTTTTTATAAATAACTCAAGGTGACGAACATACCGAATATTATTTCCTTCTCCTATATTCTCCACAACAACCCATCCTGGGGGAATATCTGGCTCACCCAGCCGTCTTTCATGCCTAAGACAACACTAGAAGTCACAGTCTCTGGTTTTAGTCTGCTGCCTTAACTACTATACCAAACTGACTCTCCAGGCAGAACAAAAGCAGTAAACAAACAAACAAGCATAACCAAGTAAAAAAATAAAGCCTAGAATATAGGCTGTAGAAGTAAAACCTCCCAGAAGAATAGGTAGAAAAATGAAAAATTTTCACCATACGCAAGGAGTATTTGCTCAATACTCAATACAGGTTGCCTGAAACCTTGCAATATAAAGGCTTCTCTGCAACAAAATTATTTATTTGTTTATTAGATTTTAGACCAACTGAGTTGCAGTTGAAAATTAGGGTTAAAATAAGAAGGAAAGACAATTGAAACAAATAACATTGCTAAAACCCATCTTGATGAAAAAGAAAACCCGTTATATATCACATAAATATAAATTAAAAGCAGGGTAACATACCACCCCACTCCAGGGCTGCTTAAAAACCCCAGTTTTTGTAGCCTTTTTATAAAAGGAAACAGGATTGAAGCTTCAGGAGACTTTATACCAGACACTGAGAATTCCTTTGCGATAGAAATAGGAGTGGAAGGGAAAGAATAGACGAATCATGTCTAAATGAGTTGTGGAAAATATAGCTGAGGCTCTGGATAGGCTCTTTGCTCAGAGCCAATGAATTAAAAGCAGAGAAAACACTTGAATCGAGGACTGATTGAGCCTTATTGGCGATACAGTATTGGGAGAGGATGTCTAGCTGTTGCTTGAAGTGTGGAAAAATTGAGGATAGAGAAATAATGCAAATAAAGACTTATTTAAGGAAATAATGCAAAGAAGACTCCAGCTTATTACAACTAATACTTTCTAAACCGACAAACAAATGCTCTTTTTCTGAACTGATAATCTGGACTGAATTTCCCAGAACATTACAATGTAATGATAGCTATTAGGATTGCTGCAGTTCTCACAAGCTTTCTTGTGTCTGCAAATAATAATTGCTCAATTTTTGGATTTGTACCAATAGGCATGCCACTTTAACTTATTTTTAAACTGTCGCTGCTAATGACTTTGTGTATATAAAATAACAGTGGATAGAAAGTTTCATTTGGGAATTTTTTGTATTGAATTAGAAGGTCAGAATTCAGCTTTGTATCTCATTTCCTTTTCTTTTGGTTCTGATGTTCCTATGTCTAACTTTTGTTGAACCTTTGGGCAGTGCAAAGGGAATAGCTGCCCTTCTGCTTTGAGCTTCACTAAAGTGAATAGCAGGGTGCCATAAAAGTCTACTGTCAGTTGGTTTTTTATTTTTTTTCTGTAGCGCATAGTCAGAGGGCAAAGATCAGGATGTTCTATCTCTCATAAATCTGATTTCCAAACATACCTGTCTCTTTGAACATTTCACAGAGAAACAGGAAACAATATCAAATACAAATGACTTTTTCCCCATATATGACATTTGACCAAGCACTATGGTGAAAGTATAATTAAATGATTTTTTTTTTCTAATGGAAAATATTTTCTATGATTCCATGCAATAATTTGCTGTAAAGGCATATTAGGTGTATAAAAATTAACAGTATACCAAACTAATCAGAATTCAAGCTTAGGGTTTGATTTTAAAAAACAACAAGACAAATGTATGAGAAGTTTCAGAAACCCAGGCTGTATTCATGCACAGCTGGGAAAAAAGATAATGATACTTGACTTGAAGAATCTATTTTTCTGAAAATGGAAACTAGTAACTGCCATGGAATTAAATGAAATTACAGTTGCAGAAAATGTCTGCACTGCTTAATACATCTGTATTGATGTGTAACAAAATGAGAGGTGCCATTTTCTGGCAAAATTTCTACTGTTATCAGTTTATCAGTTGTGATAAACATATAGAACTATTTATTATTTGAAGTATGGAGTCACCGCGATGTAAAAAAGATGTTGAGACTTTAGAAAGAGTACAGAGAAGAGCAACAAAGATGATTAGGGGACTGGAGTCTAAAGCATATAAAGAACGGCTGCTGGAATTGGGTATGTCTAGTTTAATGAAGAGAAGGACGAGGGGGGACATGATAGCAGTGTTCCAATATCTCAGGGGCTGCCACAAAGAAGAGGGAGTCAAGCTATTCTCCAAAGCTCCTGAAGGCAGGACAAGAAGCAATGGATGAAAACTAATCAAGGAGAGAAGCAACCTAGAACTAAGGAGAAACTTCCTGACAGTTAGAACAATTAACCAGTGGAACAACCTGCCTCCAGAAGCGGTGAATGCTCCAACACTGGAAGTTTTTAAGAAGAGACTGGACAGCCATTTGTCCGAAATGGTATAGGATTTCCTGCCTGAGCAGGGGGTTGGACTAGATGACCTTCAAGGTCCCTTCCAACTTTACTGTTATTATTATTATTATTAGTGCTCTCTGAGCTTGGTTGTTTGCTTGCAGATGTTTCATTATCTGAATAGGTAACAACTTCAGTGCTAGCCTGTACTAGCCTTCAGTCCTGAGCTACATATATTCTCTCTATTGGCATCACCAGAACAACCAAGCAGGTCTGATTTTATCCATCTTCCATATGATACTCTCCTTTGTCTAGTTCTCAGGCCATGATTTAAGAACTGCTATCTCATTTCCGTACCACAAAATATCCAGAGCAACACATGGGAGAGATTGAAGAAAGAGAGGATGATATAAACATTACTTCAACAGTTCTTACCACAGTACAGGTTGGATTCTGCTAAGGTTCACAAGTGAGGAATCATTCTTATTGGATGAATCTTTTCTATGGTTGCATATCCTTATCATGAAAATTTCATGTGTTAATATTTTGAAAAACACAGAAGCCTGTCAATGAAAACTATGTTTCTGCGAGATCTAAGTGAAAGTGTCATTAGAAGTACAGTATGTAGACTTTCACATAATTTTATATCTATATGTCGTAAATTCCTGTGTAGCACTGAGAAGTTAAATCTTAATATATTATTATTCTAACTCAAACACTGTTTTGGGTATTATACTAACTCACTATTATATACTAACTTAGTATTATACTAACTGATTTATTATATACATCACAAATCAATATAATGTACATTACTAAATGTTTACTTGAATGGTATCAAAATTCCACGTGCATTTTGCATCCCTGGCACAAAACAGAAATGGAGATAGCATTTTGTCAACTGACTATCCCTGGCCATTAGCTAAAAAAGGAATTTTCAACCAACAATTTTGATGATCCTCAACCATGATAAATACATGAAAATCTTCTATCTGGAAGAGCATTCCATATCCTCACTTGAAAATTAGATTAACCTCCACTTTCATTGCTTTTTAGAAACAGCTTTTCTGAAGAATTTTTGAACAGGAGGAAGATTATATTGTTTTGAATGTTGCTGTTGCTTTATTTTAAATTTTTCTTTCACTTAGTTTTGTTTAGCCCTGACAGTTTAATTATGCTGTGTGCTATTTTTTTTAAATTGCTAACTACTGGGAGTTCCTATAGATATACAAATTTACTGACTAAATAAATACATCACAAAGGCTTATACATTTTATCCATCTTGGAAAAGGGGTGGGATAATGCCAGCTGCTGGAGAAAACTATGGCCTTCATACTGCTGTAGCTAATGACATTTTTGGCTTCTTCATGAGCTGGGAATAAGATGAAGACAGCACTATGTCAACAAGGGAGAAGTCGGCTGGATGAGATGGGATTATGCTGGGGCAAAGGGCAAGTGGGATAAGGCCTGAATGAACAAAAGATTATTTTCCAAGTACGTTCTTAATTATAAATTATGTGTG